AATTTGATTGATCAGTGTATGCTACGTATATTAAATGTATCACCGGCAAATGCGATTAAGTTTCAAAAGGTAAATTTATCCGCCTAAACTATTTATAAAGTTTTGTTATTATATACTCATACAATTCTAATTCTTAGATACTCGAAATTGTTCCGGGTGATTGGTTTTCACCTCCAACGTTGGAGAAAATTGCGCGTGGGGCTGTAGGCATTTGATTTTGGTTAGGGATGGTAAAGTTAGTTTAGGATTGGTTTAGGTTTTAAAACCTTCTGATTTCAAATTAAAAGCCTAAGAACAAGGTTTTTATATTAAGTTCCAAACTTATGTTAAACTTGGTTTGGTTTAGAATCAAATTTTAAAGCCTGGTTCTCGATTTTTGTAAAACAAAAGATATCAATATATTAATAAAAAAAAGTTAATTCATACCAAACCTTTTAGAATATATATTTCTACCTTTTGGATAACTTAATACGTATGCTAAGGTTGGCTTATTTAAATGATGATTCTGATAAGATTTGCAGTATTATTACAATAAAATTTGATGAGTTTTATAATAAAGTAAAATCTAGCGTTGTTTTAAGGTAAATGGTTTACTAAATTAATCTTTTATCTAGTTTTTGTGATCTTAATAATAGTAAATTAACCTGATAGTTTTTAACTTTTTTTTATAATTATACAAGGTTAATTTTGATTTACTATTACGTATTAGAATTACAAAAATTACTACGTAAAAAGTTACCTATATTTGCATTTAATGGAATACTGATTTAAATGTTTTTTCTTATCCATATTTAAAAAGTAAAATGAAGATTTATAATAATCTGTTTAATATAAAAATCAACTAAGACCATTAAATGCAATTATGATGAAATTTGAATAAGGCATTTATTTATTATCAAAATCAGCAGAGATGGGAAAATGTTTCGAGTTGGATATTGCTATTGAAATTGAACTGGAATACAGAGACTTGCTGAAGGCTAATTATTGGAGTCGAATATAAATATGTTTATTTTAAATTCTATAAAATTATAACAACTTTATATTTTCTGATGATCAGGAAAAAGATATCGGATAATTAAAGATTTATTATTTGATTTACTTTTGAAAGCTTAAATTCACCGATGTTTTATAGCCACGGACGGACGGAAATTCTAATATCGATAATTGTATAAAAATTTATTGAAAGACATGAATTTTATATTAAGAATTTTACGGATATTAAAAAATAGTAATATATTACAGTTTGAGCTTTTATATTTATTAACCTTTGACTAATGAATAATGCTGAAGGATTTGCCATGTAAAAAATACAGAACTACGTGCAATAGCAACATTTTCAATTACTAATTTTATTTAATATTAAGCAAGTAACAAAATTTTTTATTTGATTTTTTTAAATAAAATAAAAAGTTTTCTAAATTACAAAGCTAATTACATAATAAAGACATTCACAAAATAAACTTTAAGATATAACTAAACGTAAAATTGATTTTATCGTTATCACCATTGTTGTCAGAACAAACTTTTCTAATTTCAAAACTGTTATATAATATTTTCTAAAGCACAATCTTGTATAAATTTTCGGTATGCCGTAGGAATTTCGAACCCTGATATAAAATTAAAAAAAAAAAT